AAATAACTTAAGTCCCAGGTTCTTGAAGATCTACTTGTAAAACCTTTTTAAAGACCACTACTTATTTTACTGCATTCGTTATTTTAAATTCTCGTAATGAATTACTAAGAATAATATAATGTGGCGCAATTAAGCACAATACAATGTATAAGTATGAATTGAAACAGAAGTTCTTTTTATTTGAAGAATACACCATGTCTTCTCAAAAGTCACAGGTCTTACTAGATATCGATTTTTATTTTTAAATCTATAAATAGATGCTAGTGTAATTCATTGATTAAGCAAGACCGATAAGGAATTTAGGAACTGTCCCTTGCCCAGAGATGTGAAATGCCTGCTTTATTTCTTCCAAATTAAAGTTTAAACTCCACAAAGACAAAAGTAAGCTTTTGGTGTGTCGCTTCTAAATGTGATTACAGGGCAAAAAAAAAGTTGTTTCAAATTCTGCAAGCAGCCTTAAACAAGTGGATTCCATCAATCTTTCTGGGATGCTGTAAGGTTCATCTAATAAAGAATGAATGGGAAGTATTATCTCCCCTGACATGGATCTTTTACAAGTTTAGCTGAATACAACAATATTGCAGTTATACAAATGCAATACATACAGTTCTAATGTCATATACCCAATTTAAAAGAATAGCATAATACAGTGTCCGTAAGGTACATGTTAAATAAATTGAAAATGACAAATGATGAAAAGTAGCCATCAGTCATCATTAATAGAATGTTTTGGGGGTGTACTTTAGTAGGGTCCTGGAAGGATGGAAGATCCAACATATTCCTTGATGATCCAGATATACATGTAAACCAGCACTAATAAAAGGCTGCAGAGAAACAGACTAGTAATTAGTGAGGATAAGGTAGTCACACAGAGTGATCTGCATAAGCTGGAAAACTGAGCCCATTCGAAAAAAATGTATTTTTTGTAGAGCTACCTTTAGGTAGGCTGTCTCTTCTGAAGGGTAGACTGTATCCTGGAAAATACGAGTTCTGGAAAAATCCTAGATGTCATGTCACAGTCAAGAAGCAATTTAATGCAAGCTCCCCCTGTGATAACATGGCAAAAAGGGTGAATGCAGTCTTTGAGTACTCGTGTAGGAGAATAGTGAGCAGCAGTATGGAGGAACATATTCCAGTGTCACATACTGTGATAAATTATGCCCAATGCTTCATGGTCACGTCTTTTAAAAAATCTGTTGACAAACTGATTGCCAGTTTTCCAGCCTGGAAGATATCCTTACAAGGGATGCCGTCTTCAATACAGACAGAAGTGACTTGCTTGCCGTTTATGCATACCTAAACATGAAAAAAAACCCCACCACCAAAAAACCAAACCAAACCAAAGAATCTTAGGCTTTAATGACTAACAGCAAAGATGAACATTAGAAGAATCAAATATTAGAAAACAAGCTGAATTTAGAATTAAGGTACAATTTCTAAAAGAGCAAAGGCCATTTAACCATTTGAATAAATTGCTTTGCAATTTAAAACTATGGATTTTCTTTATCTACCTTCAAATTAAGACTTTTAAGTTTTTCTGGCAAATATTTTTATGGAAATCCAAGTTATTGGATTCAACACAAAGATTAGCAGATGAAATCTACCATCTTGCAATATGTAGGGCCAGGCTAGATTATCTAGCAGTCGATTAAAGACTTGATTTTAATGGTTACTGGTGACACTTTCATGCAATTATTTGCTTAATCAGTGATCATATGAATAGATAAAAGGCAGAGACAGAAGTCTGGAAATGAAACTCAAAGAAAAGTGACTGGAAATTACTTCTGGAGATAATACAGAGAAAATTTTGTTAAAGGGTAAACTGATGGGCAAAAACCAGATATGTTCCTCAATGTATGTACAGCTCCCATCTAGTGAAGCTACATGGAGCAACAGCTATACATGTAATTGTTTATTTTGTGTCTTACTAGCTAATGGCCAAGTTCTTTATTATTCCTTATTATTGTTCCTTAGACAACTTTCTTACGAAGATCAATGAGTGGTCTTCAAGCTGAGAGAACCACATAAACCTAAACGCTTGCTACAGTCCACAGAGTTGGAACACGACATGACTTTTCTTTCCCAGTGAACTTGCCACCTCCAGTTCAGTACGTTACTTGGCTCCAGCTGTTACTGCACTTAGAACGTACATGCTGGATTCCAGAATTAATGCAAGAGGGTTGCTGCTATTTGGGATCAGTTCAGATGCTGGTCAAAGCAGATGCTATCCTGGAACTTGCTTGCAGCAACAGACAGGGTAAATGTTCTCCCCTGCAGTGTAATTCACTTGGATGTTATTGGCATAAATGTTGTCCACGTATTACTAAGTTTAATTAAAGGTCATCTTCCTTATCTATCAGGAATGGGTCAGCGCCCAACTAAAAGCAGCTACACGCTGTTTCGGGTTTGGCTTTCTCTACCCGTCACTATTAATGATATGATTGCTAGCACAGTACCTTCATGCATTCTCTATAGCTTATTTTCCAGAATCAGATGCGTATTCAGAGTATGAGAAATAACTGCATTTTCCATACCCTTCCTTGATATTCTAATGATACAGCAATTTCTTTCTGCCTTGGTCTCTCTTCCAATACATTATCTGAAATGCCACTGTTTCAATTTTATATTCACTTACTCCCAACCCAATAAACTCATGTGGTTCCCTGACTCTGCACATGCATTCTTCACTGCCTGCTTGTTCTGTATAGGTTGCTTTTGTTGTTGTTTTTCTCCACATCTACCTTCACTCCTAGCTGTCCTATTTAGAGTACCTTGACTCCTTAAATTTCCAGAGTTCAGGGAAATACGGAAACGGGCAGGGATAAAATTTTGTTAATTCTACCTGAGAAACAGCTTTAGAAATTCTTTATTAACTTCACTTTCTATATCAGTTAAGGGAACTCCTATTCACACCTCTGTTCTTTGAATACAATCTCAGATTAAACAACAGAAGATGTTCTTAGAATGTATTTCTAAGGTAAAATAAACACCAATATTTCAGCATTTTTCTTATTCTGCATTTTAATAGCACCTATATATCCGTTCCATTACCAAGACCTTAAATGCTAGGATAATATGCAATATATCTTTTATTTCATCACTGCTCAAGGCAACACCCTGCAGTCCCCTGTTCTTTATGTCTTAAATGACAAAAGCTTTATTACCAGTCAGTAAAATGCACTGTGCCAAACCCCACATTATTTAGCATATCAAATATGACCTTGTGATTATGGTGAATAAAGGTGAGGTTTTCAAAAACTTCTTCACTGGTCATGGAGAGAGACTTTAAAATTAGTCCCCAAGCCCTTATGCTGCAATGCTATCACACTTATAAGATTCAACCAACATGTAAAATGGTCTGCAATGGATCTGGATGCTCTTCAGCTCTCCTGCAGGTTAAGCTTCAATAAAGGGAGTAATTAGATACATTTAACATCTGCTACAAAGCCACCAACATGATTTTTAGAAGCTTTGTACCAAGACTCATAATTGTATTCCTGATCTGTTTCCAAGTTAAAGTGGGAGGGAAAACAGTGCCTTTTACAAGTGGAAGGTGTTTTCTAACTGCTTTCAGTGAAAACACTGCTGCTTTCACACCTCTTTCGAGTCACTGTCTTTTGAGCCCCTGCTGAAAGGCTCTATTATTGTTGCTAGCATGATGGATCAGTTTTCTAGATGTAAATACACATAAATGCAAGTAGCCACAACTATCACTGTACTTCTAGATACCTGAATGATGATACCCACAGTTTTTGCTTAAAGCAGTAAAAATACTGACATGCTATATGGCAGAAAGGTGTATATGTTCCTTATACAGCCAGCCTCCTTATTTTCAGCATCAAACCACCATAAAATCAGGACCAAGGCCATTGGCTTGCCTTTGACTGATTATTGAACACACAGTTAACAACCAGTCACAAATCTGCCCTCTCCCACAGCAAAATGAATATACTATTTCAACTTCTTCAGTAGGAAGCAACACAGACCAACAAGACATTCAACTGTAGATTCAATTAAGAACTTTAATCAAAGCACAGACAGTAGAGAATACAGTATTCTGAGTTTCTCCCCCAAAAGATAAAAAAATACCTCGTAAGTATTTTACAAATTTACAAATCGTAAATTTTCCTTTTACAAATAATATACAATCGTTTTTTGCTGCAAAACATATAATACATTTCTATGTTACAACTGTTGCCTTCTTTTAGAATTATGTATTCCTTGAGCTGTTCTCCTTAGAAAACAGGAGAGTATAATAAATCCAAAAGTATAATAAATATATTGCTAACTAGGGTGGTAAATGCTGAAGAAAATTATTCAAAACATCCAGTTCTTTTATCTATCAGATTGCTAAACTAAATGGATTACTCACATGAATTAGATTAACATGAATAAATGTTTTGAGTGTCAGACCTCAAAGTGAGATTGAACAAAAAAGATGGAACCGTCACGCTTTGCTACCAACGTAGAAAGAAAATAAGCTACTTTGGAACTTGGCATTTTGGGCTGATTAACCCTCATCTTCAGAATTAATGGTAAGGGAGAAAACAATCCTTATAGACAAAAATAAGAGATGAAGGTATTAATTACTGAGATTTATCCAGAAAAGGACAGTTCTCAGAATACAGTTTGTATTTTACCCCAGACAGGTAATATATAGAAGTCTTTATGTATTATCTGATAACCTAGTACTGGCTTTTTGTTGTCACTGCCATCCTGTCTACATGCCACATGCCACCTCTTGCTGAAGTAGATTTGTCTCAGCCATTTAACAAATGATTCTTCCCCAGAGGCCAGAAGACTTGCTGAAAAAAACCCCCAACCCCACAAAAGTGCTCCAATAACTTGTGTTGTTGAGAAATACTGGGAACATCTGAGGAGCACTTTGACTTGTGAACAGTTGGAATTGCTACTAAAAAAATTAGAAACTCTGAATGAGGAATAGAAAGTGGTGCAACAGAAAAAGCACTGATAAAGCTTCAATGGAAAAAAATATTTGCTGAACGTTTTGCAATCTCACTGCACTATGCTGTTGCTCAGCTGGGTCAGCCTGCTTGATAGTCTAAACTCCTGCAAGGAAGGAGATACCCAGAATGCACAGGAGAAACCAAGACCCACATCTTACAGCCACACACACCATAGGAACTGACCCGGTTCATTTTGTGGTACTGACTTAAACGGGAACTCTGTTCTCCTTGGCCCACTTTTTCATGATGCGGACAATGTATTCTACTTGAGAATTACCAGTGCTCTTCAGAAGATGCAGTACTTCCCGTAGAGTCTCTCTACAAAGGTGAAAAGCAAAGATTTAAATGAGGGTGAGACCCAGCTGATACAATAAACAACTACCCACATCCAAACTATTTTGCAAAACATGGTTCCTGGACAGAGAGGTCCATTCATCTGCAGGGCAGAAACAGGTAAAAAGGCACAGTAGATTAGATCCCAGGGGACAAAAAAAAAAAAAAAAAGAAAAAAAAAGAAAAAAAAGTCTTGTATACAATTGCAACAAGGAAAGAAATTAAAAGTCGCACAGTAGATTAGATCCCAGGGGACAAAAAAAAAAAAAAAGAAAAAAAAAGAAAAAAAGTCTTGTATACAATTGCAACAAGGAAAGAAATTAAAAGTAAAAAAAAAAAATCAGCAAAATGTAATTAGTTTGGGGTTTAGTGCCCGCGTGTGTGTGTATTTATATATAAATCCTTACTCTAGCAAAAGAGCTCCCCAGAACAAAACAAACTTTTTTTTTGTTTAATGTTACTTGCCAGTCTTCAGTATGGCAACATCTAGCTTAATGCTGCCGAAGCACCTTGCACATAAATACATGGAAATGAACATTACCAACAGGATAAACCAGTATGAAGTTGCAGTTTGCCAGCTACTTTACAGCAAGAACTTGTATGCATATTGAAAAACAGGCAAGCTATGTGTATTTTACTGCATCTACTGCAGTAATTGCTAAAAGGACACTTGAAGGGTGCAGTAGTTAATGAGATTATTCCAGCAGAGAAGGGAATACAAGGAAGGTGTAGAAGCCAAGATATACACCTACCAGTCATGTACAAAACAGCAATTTTGGCCAGGGGAGAACGGCCATCTGGCATCACAGCAGAATATCCACAAGGGAACAGTTCTTAAATACAGCCTCACTACTCTCTCTCATTCTCCCATCCAGTGAAATGGGCCAAAAGCAAAATTATCAGTAACACAGATAATTTCCTTTAAGCTTTCATCAAGTAAGTATATTTGTCTGACATGGACAGTGTCTTCAGAAAGCAAATTTTAGTGAAAATACAGTCTGATCTACTCAGTGTTTGAAGATACCATGTCCTTCCTACAGCCTGAGTAAATGTTTCCTTACTTTGTTCTGTGAACCTTAAAATGTCATGGGACAATTTCCCATTCTTACACCATCAACATGAAACGAGGTTCTTTTCCCTCATTCATGAACATACTACATGTATAACTTAGCTCTTCCTAGTTTAATGACTAATGTATTTTTTTTTCCTACAGTTCGTAGTATTTGCTGGTAAGTTATGCTCCACGATATATTCTATAACTGTTGGTGTGGAAGATACACTTCAAATTGAACACTGCATATGGAACCACTGGCCAGAGTGTCTATTCTCTGAAAGGTCAAGAATTGGAAGAGGATACATAGTCTTAAAGCCAAGATTATGATTCTGGCTTACAGCTAACTTGAAATAGGAAGAGCAAAATAAATTCAGAAACAACACAGAATACTCACTTTGCTTCTCGGCCTGCTAAGATCATTTGAAAGACACCCACACAAGCACCTCTCTTGCCTTCCCAATATTCAGGATTACTGTCCAGTCTCTCCAGAACATCAAATGCTTTGGCTGAATAGTAAAACTGACGCATCTGCACAGAAAGTGAAACATTATTCCTGACTATATGACCATCTTTCAGAAGGGGATTAAAAATTTTGAGCTCAGTTTTCTGAAATCAGCAGTAAGTCATAGACACAATGTGCATTTTTCTGTTTTTCTGCAGGCAGCAAGTGACACGGAACAAGCACATTGCAGTTCTACGTAAGGGAACAGGTGGTATTATAACGTTACTGGTCTATGTCTTTGAACATATTATAGGCAAACTGCACTGTGAACTTTATTAGTTGGCAATGATCAGCACTGTTGTTTTGATCATATATAGGTAACACTAGCTTACAGAACTTTTTTATGAAGTGCCCTATCTAGTCTCATACCAACTATACCAAAGTCCTTGGTAGAGTATCAACTTCAAACTAGTCCAGACATTTGAAAACAGAACCTCTTTTCCTCATCTAGAGATGGTCACAGGGACATATTTGGATGTTTTTTGGGTTTAACTTAGAGCTAAATTTTTTTCTTCACTGTTACAGTACAGTACAAAATAAGATTCAGTGAACTCTATAATCCAAAATTTTCCTAAGCATAGGAAAATCCACTGTGTACCCTTATCTTTTCTGCCTTAGGTTCTCTACTTGTAAATGGGAACAAGAAGCAAGTTGGTTGGCAACAGTCAGTGCAAAAGGAGTGACCACAGTAACTGTGGCTTTTGAAGTCAGCATAACTCATGTGGACCTTGTCTATGACTGTGAGTGTTCTTCACTTGGGCAAGCCTGAATAGCAATATTGTTTGTGGCTAGCATCTTCCCATGAGAGAGCACAGAAGGTAGACTGAGCACAGCCTCCCATCCTTTGGTAGCTGGAAGCCTGCATCTGCTGAGAAAAAAGGACAGGCTGTGGGAGTTACGTTTGAAAACTTTAGTCAGAGAAACATAAGTACTACAGAATGAGTAATAATTGCCTTTTCTTCACATAAATGGTGATTTTAACCACAGGTGACTGGCAAGCACTTAAATGGATGGGAATAAAGATAGTGAGTATAAACAGTATCAGATATGTCAGCTAAGAAGAAAAAATTGAATACTGATCTCTCCAAACTGGCATCTGATCTAGTTCCATTAAGCAGATAACAGTTTAATGTCCTCCTCCTATCTGACATAAAAGGAGGAAATGCTTCACCCCAAGTCATGTGCTGTTCCCTATATGGATAAGATGGGCTATTGCATGAAAAGCAGCAAGAAATTAGCCAGAAGTCCTGCATCCCAGCTTCCTCACTGAGCAACTTCTATCAGCATAGCAATGGGGCATCCAGCTGCAGCTAGTCTCAGGACACTGTTGACCTTGCTCCATCCATGTTCATTCAGCATTCTGTTGAGTGAAGCCTAGTACAACTGCCTTCTTAAGTTACAGCTGTGGTACTATCTGTGGACCTCCAGTATAATATAGTGTTTCAGAAAAAAATGGAAAATGCTACATAAACTCAAACAACATGCCATTTAGTGGAAGAGGTACAAACAGCTGGTAGTGTAGAAAGACAAGTTATAACACTATAGTAATCATTTTTGAAATGAAATTCCTTGGTCTTTAGAGCAGTCATTTATGGCCATATGTAGACACATAATTAGGCTGAAAAATTTAGTCCTGTAAGTGCAGTTTTTAAGAGCTCTAGATGAATCCAAAGTGTGAGGCTGCTTCTCCTCTAGGGTACAATAAGGTTTTGAGAAGAATTTAGGCAAAGTAATCAACTGATTTAAGTGAGACTTAAAATGGTCTAGAGAGAGATTTTACATAAGGTCTGGTTGTCAACTTGCTTTCACAAATTGCAGCCATGGGAAACACCAGAGGCATAGCCACTTGCTTAAGCAACAAGACTTTTAGGGTGAGCTGGTGGATTGAATACTTGCAGACGTGCAAGAGATAATTCACTCAGTTTTAGAAGAATGCTTTTGAGATCACAAGGTAGATTGTCTGACTTTCAGTTATGTGTTTGTTAGGATTTTGAGAACATGTTACTTTGTCAGATGAAGGAAAACAGCAAAAAAGAATGTTACAGATAGTGTGCGGATATTGCTGCTCTTTGGAGCACTTGGCTGAACTAAGAATCATTGGGAGGTTTTCCAATAGGACTCAGTTTACTATCTTCCCTGTATGACGTCAAGTTTGGTCACTGTATCTCTAGTAAGCCTATGCTAATAGTGGTAGCTCTTGTGTATTCACTTGCATTAGGCTCCACTGAACCAGCTCCATGAGCTTTACACCTATTATCTGTGTTTTGCTTTTCTTCTCATATATGCTTTCTTAAAACAGTGAACTACTATATTTGCACAATCACAAAATTACAATCTGACTTTATACTCTATATTTAATTTAAATTCAATATAAAATGGTTGCTCTCCAAATAATTTCAGTCCACCTTCTGGCTCTGGCCAATACATTCTGAGAAGTGGATGGCCTGTCTCACCATGACGCTTTTCCAAAGAACATCCTTTTCTCCTATCACTGAGCTGCTACTCCTCTAGGTCCCAACACAATGCAATCATCCTTGTAGGTGGCAGCGAGGATGCCGGATACAGCATTCTATTATTGTCTACTGAAATCTTGCACAGCAGTACTCTGGATAGGACAACCAATTTTTCTTTCTCCTATAGTCCCATTTACAATCCTTTCAAAAAAGTTTTCTTTATATGCCTCTACATCCGTCCTGCAGGTGAAGCTCTCATATTTTCTTTCATGATTTGCAGAACAGCAAAAAACTTGAATCAGAGCGAAGTCTCACTGTGTATAGACACCATCTGAAAAACTAGATGTTGGGAATTTAGGCAGAATTGTAATCAGCTTCCTAAGGTCTCTTCCCTGTTAACATAACTTTGTATAAACTAGAATTTGGAGGTGTGCCAGCAGTGTATTACCATGGAGCATGAGAACTAGCAAACATTATCTAGAAGCTTAGCACAAGTAAGGTAGCATATATTTTAACTTGTTCTAAAATGCCCAGAGCATCCCTACTAAAGTGGGCATTGTCTTGTCTAGCTTGACTTTTAAAGATGTTAGACAGCTTAGTCTAACCTCATGTCTTTAAGTCCCCTCTAGAAAACGTTCAAAAGAAGAACTATTATGTGTTAGCAGGGATCCTGCTGTAGGCAGTTAAGCTCACCATTTTTTCTGAGTAGTTTTATTCCTAATGACTACACCCCCCACCCCCGTGTCTCTTTGCCCCACTTGGGCAGATAGAATAGTAGTTGTGAGAATTCTCTTCCCATTTCCTTATGATTAACAAAGGAGTATCTCCCATTGCCATTACAAGCTTTAAGGAAAAAACAACACTGTCCCAGGAAAAAAATGCAGCATGAGGCTCCTTGCTGAATATGTGCTAGGTTTTTTATTTTCTTAAAAGTTTCTTGTAATTTCTACCAACAATTAATCCCTAGTAGGAGAAGAAACTGTTATTGTTATTGATAGCTCAAGCATGCAGTAATTTACCAATGTTTTAATCAGTGGGTTGTCTACCAAGAAGGCCTGTAGGTTAAAATACTGACTAATCCTTGCCAACTCATCTACATTATTAGACATCCCACTGTTATAAAAGAAAGTTCACTAGTGATGACAGTGATGGAAAGTATCAAAAAAATGGGTGTTGGTACCATCACTGAATTAACATGCCATACACCGAGCTCGAAAGAGAAGACTCACTTTGTAGCAATCATTTGCAATGAGCTGCAAAAGGTTAAAGGACTCCCCTGAGGTCTCCATCTTCAGATAGAGCTTCCAGGCCAACTGTGGTTTCTTATTCATAATATCTGCAATAACAACAAAAAGCTAGGATTGTGAAAAGAATATGCCATGCACAATACTCAGTGGCAGGTGGAATAAATGTTCCTAAATTTCTTTGCTTAATGTAAATGCATACCTCAGCCTGTGAGCATGAGGTTGGGAAGGGAAACTTGTCCTTATCTTCTGCCTTGCTAGCGATAACAGCAACTCATCAGAGAATACCAACATCAAGAGGAATTATGATGGTGTTTACATCTCCATTTATATTTCACAGATACAGCAATAAGCACAACTCTCATGATTTCAGATGTGATTAAGAAATAGAATGGAAAGCATTAGTGAAGTTAATGCAGGACAATGAACTGTGGCAGTCCATTTAGATGGTGAGATTTTGGATTATGTGTTCTTACACACAGAAAAAAAAATAATTAGCACTGAACCGAGGTCTTTAATACTTGGTGCCAATCTCAATCTAAACATTCAATCTCCATGAATAGGGGGGGGGGGGGGGGCAGGCAAAGCCCCTACAAGCATAACAAAACTGGTCATTATGCATCTACTAGAAAAAATGTTTCCAAATTCCTGAGATTTGGTGCTGGGTTTACATGTGCCTATGTGCCTAGAATTTTTCATTGGCCTTTAACTTTAAACATCACTGCTACGCACAATTAGAAATAAAAGAATCTGAATCTTCCAACTCAGCTAGTGGAAATTCTACTAGGGTGTTTGAACACAAAGAATTCTAAAATTTGATTTTCTGGAGATAAGAACCTATTCTGTTGAATCTGAGGTTGATAATGGTAATTCCAGACTCATTCAAGTACTGGGAGAAAAGAAAATGAAATCAAGTATTCCTTTCTTTTTCAAGTCTTGCCAGCTACTCACAGAGTAGCTAGCTGTTCACACATGGACCACTCTTGTGCTTTTTCAAAAGAGGGACTGTTTAGCTTATTATATCTGTGCCCACTGTGCCAATACATATGTTGCAGGTAGAATGGGTGGCATTATCAACAATAAACAAGTAACACCAAATCACGGAATTTATAGAAACCTCTCATTCAGGAGGCAACAAGACATGAAATCAGATTTTTCTTTCATCAGCTCCAGATACCATACACAGCGGCAAACAGCCAGGTCTTAATTTCCAAATACCAACCCATCTATCTAGAGAAATGGAGTACTGTGCTAATTCAATGGGTTTTTTACCTTCTCTTCAAGAAGAATTTGGTATAAATAGTACAATAATACTAAACAAAAAAATACTGTCTAGCATCCAAAAAGATGCATCTCTGGTCCTTTTTGCCCTTTGGAAATAGTTCAGCATTGAATTGTTTATTACTCAATACCTAATCATACTCTGACATGAATGTATTGTAATGCTTTGTAATTTCTACAGCAGCTTTTATCCAGAAGGATCTAATAGTAATTTACATACTTGACACAAAAAGATAACTATACTCATCATTGAACAGTTGTTTCTGCAAAGAATTCTAGCATGTTTGGTAATGAAAAAAATCAAAATTTTAAGACAGACACAGAAGGATACAGCAGCTCTACTGA